TCAAGTTGTTTTAAAACTTGGATGTTGCTTAACTTTTCTATATTACTTTCGTTATAAGGGACTTCTTAATTTTCATATTCACATTGCTAGCATTTATATAATTAACTCTATTAACCTACAAGTCTCACATTAGCTATAAAACCATTATATAAATATAATTGAGAAGCATATTAATAATACACTGTTCGCTATAAGTACAAATATCTATGTATAATTAACCTTATTGACCTAGTAGTCTCTTATTAGGTATAAAACACAAAATACCATTCTCAGGCCAATGCCAAAATAACCCATCCTGCAGAACCCTGCAGCATGCGGCCTATTGACGTCACTTTCACAAAGTAATTATGGGCGTAAACAAAGCATTTGAGAAACTGACCTATAGCACCAACTAGCGAGAGAAAATAACTGTACAACAAAATATTGCAAGTTGCAATAGAAAGAATTTACTAGTTTTGTCAACCAAAATACATACGAATATCAAAATAATAAATTCCAGAGAACTTACTTAGGTATAGACTGGGAGATAGCAATTCGACCAAAGGTCATCGAAGTCTACCAACACCCATTGAGGCCAAATAATTACTGAAAAAGAAAAGAAAAATAACCGTCGACTATTTAACTACCAAATTTATTTGAATAAAGTGTATATTCACAATACAAATGATAATGTAAAAGCAAGAGGTACAAGAAAATAAGCAAATAGTAGAGTTACCGGTAGTTTCAAAAAATTACATGTAGTAAGCAAGCAGGGGCCAGTGGACAATTCTACGATGGATAACTACGGTATGTGTTTAATCAAATTTATTTCATAGAAATATAAATGCTGGTGATATGTACGGTGATAACGTCAAATCCTAGCAATTCTGAATTCTGATAAAAAGAGATTTGAAACCGTTATGCGTTTTGGGTATTATCATTGAGTATGGAGGGTAGTCCAAACCACTCTAGTAAAATTAAATCAAAACAATTAAGTTTTAACGTCATATCTGATATTCGTGAATTGTACTTCTCGCTCAAAATTAATTTTCATGATTTTTATCATATTATCTTTAAATATGTACATATGGGAAACAACTTCTAGTGAAAAATATCGATATCTCGGGCACACTCATAATTGGTTAAGGAATCACTAACATATAGTATTTGTATTTTTTACTATATTATTGTTCAAATTCCCGATATTGTTGTGTTTCGTGAACATTTAACTCGTTTGTGCAAAGCATCGGGATGCAAATATTTTGTACTGGGCTTACAGCATTCGAGAGAGTGCAGTTACGTTTTTTTTTTTTTTCTGTCAGATAGCGAGCTCATTTATGAAACAATGAAAAGCAAATATCCATACCGACATGGTTACCACTGAATTAATAGTCGACAATACCGAAAGGCGTCTGACAAAGGGAGGCAAGCTACATGCGACATGCAATCCATTCGTCAACGTTGAACTATGGGGAACACTTAAGGAATATTATTCTCTTAAAGAGTCAGTGAGTCAAATCAGGCTAGGCCATGCATGTTCCACTGATTGTTTTGGTAGTAGACATAAAAAATCATAAAGAGAACCATAAACGTGAAGCATTGCGCTTTCTCTTTAGATCACTGGAAGAGAAAACGCTTATATTAACTCAATTTTTTCTACAACGACACCTAAATACTGAAGTGCTCAAAATCACTCGCTTGTTTAATAACTTCCTGATGCTTGAAAACGCTCAGCAAACAAAATGAACGTCAAAACAAGACCTTATCGAAGAAGATTTTTAGTTACAGCACCGTGCCCAAATTTATTTTAGTATTTTTCTAATCATGTGACACATTTTACTATTGCTGCGGGGTGTTTGCATTGAAATATAATCGATATTTTTATCACCTCCAAACGTCATATAAGGTTCACTCTTGTATTGTTGCCTGGAGCGTTAAATTTGCTGCCACGCAAGACCATAGCAAACATTCTAGACCAGGGGTGGCCGAGGTTTTTGGACCAGTGTTACAAAAGTAAAATTGGATAACAATGAGCCTTGCACTTAAAACAAAATTAACTCGAAATCTCAACAAATTCCTTGAGCTTTTTCTTAGCTAAAACCTCAGAATTTGGTTTTAGTGCAGATGTGGCAGCATCAGGCAGGCTAGATTGAATTACTCTATGGGCTGAATAATTTGGCCCACTGGCCGTAGTTTGCCCATGTCAGTTATGGTTTTTACACAGGTAGGAGAAACACAAGTGTGCTCATTGACAAGAATGATGTATTCCCAGTGCATAAAACCGAGTTCCCTAAAATGATTTGATCGAAAACAGCACTTACTGGCCGAATATATTGCAATACATGCAAATCTCAGCGAATCCTATCAACATCTTATAATTGACGTGAATTTAACTTTGAATAGCCAGGTTTCTGTAGTTGGGAAAGTTAATAATTATAGATACTATTAGATTTTTATATATACTCCAAAGTGCAATGCTTCGGAAATGGGATATTTTCCTTTTTTCTCACCCATCCACAGTACAAACTTGTTAAATGTTACTAACCCTAATAAATGCCTCATTCTTGAACTTTCACCTCTGTCTAAAGTTAGGCAAAACAAGGCACAAGCCCTTCTTGCTGTATTTCTTTTCTTACATTGCATAAAATGTCTCATGAATTATTCTATTATGTGAATTTTTATAGTAATTCTTCTTTCAAGTACTTTTTTGGAATTGATTCATTGAAACCTCGCAACCAGGCTTATAAATGAACATTATTTTTTCAAAAATATTTTTTCATCTCATTGGAGTATCTTTACAACTTTCACTCCTGACATGTGGAAATTACTTGCCGATATTTACATAACTTTATTCAGAGTGACAGGAATGGGATGGCCCCTGGAAGGGTCGTTATTTATGTGAATGGACTGATGTTACTTGTTGCTGCAAGCATATAATTAGAAAAATTCTCTTCTATATCAAAATCAGTTACAATCAAATTTGGAAACTTTGTTGACTGCTTCTTTGCAAGATCATTACATGGATACGGGAAATGAATTTGTTCAAAATAGAAACATCACAATTGAATACATTTTCTTCAAAACAATTTACAACTAAACTCAATACCAGTATATATCATATGTCATATTTATTTCCATCATTCAAAAACAACAAATATGACGCTAAAAATGCTTTATCCACCCATGTTTAGCAACAGCAAAGCCCAGGGAAAAACACTAAATCATTCTGCAAACAGGAAGTGAATATATATTCCGGGATCTTACCCACGAAAGCAACCTAGCTATGACTTCAAATAATCCTGCCTTGTATTTTTTAATTCCGGTAGTCAGCCGACCTAAACTTCTGCTGTAATATTACTTACCGGTAACCCTATTATAACATAATTAGTTATCTCATGTATATCCAAGATATGTTTATTGTGGGATTAAGACTTTTGAAGCAATAAAATAACCACAGCATGTATGTATTATGAACATAGCTTTGAAGGGTACTCCCGTAGTATGCGGTCTTTCAAAAGTAGGAACTCTCAATTGCTAGTAAAATTAGTTATCGCTACCTCCATATTTGTACTCATACTGGAGCCCAATATTATACATTTATTTATGTAAATTTGCATTATTACACATTATGAAATTTTACATCTATGTAAAAAATTATTGAAAAGTATTAATTAACAATTTATGTTTAGTTGGCTAATACTTTCCACACATATTCGTTTTACAACCATTAATTTTATTTAGTATTGATGAAGTAACGACTTACTATTAAATCGAGCGCTACAAAAACAGTGAATCAGAAATGAACGACTACTGTCATTGTGTAGCCTCTAATAATGGGGGCTTAGTGGCAAAAGACATATTCATGGATCCCATCACTTTAAAAGACAGAAGACAAATAACTGCAGGCAATTCAAAGTCAATAATTGGCTGATTAGGTTAAGCTTATTTCATTGAACAGGTCCGCCCAAAGCATGGTAAGGTACGAATAAGACAAAATCATAAGTGTCATCTCACAGTAAGTTAAAGGAATATGTTTGTAGGGAAAAATACCATGAGTAAAATACATTGTGACAAATTGAATTTGATGTACCTTATGATTCAACTGAGTACTGCTGCTAAACGCTATTTGTCTAAAAATATTCACTTTCTGAACATTCAGGAACTCCAAAAGGGACTGTTAGACTGAGGCACGAATGGGCGATAATTGGTCATGGGCCAGTGGTAAACTGTATCTGATCAAACATGGCCGTTTGAGTTAAAGCGAGAAGTGATTCGCACTTCATGCTTGGTCAGGTATGTAGTCTGATACGCATGTGTTATCGTGACTCAAAATGTTTTATTCTCTGCTTGTCTTGGGCAACTTAATGATAATATATCTCTCCGGAAATTTCATAAATAAACAGTTTCTTCATAAGAGATAAGTTAATTACGAGATACATATCACTGATCTAATATGAATGAATAAGATGCCCTTAATATCCAAACAGCAGGAATTGTCAAAATCTACAGCTCACTATTTGGAATGTTTTGTAGATTCAGTCTGTAGGAATTTTAAAATACTATATATTGAAAATCATAAATAATTGACTCTAAACAATGAGAATTCAATTGCTTGAAATGACAATTCTTTCAACTATCCATAAACATTCCTAAACCCTTTAATCTACAATATAAAAAAATAACTTTCGAATCAATTTAGGTGTTCAGGTAATTCTCGACATTATTGGCAAACAGTTTAGTTTCTAATTCTCTGAAATTATTTTATTCCCCAATAAGCTAAATATAAGATTTTGCAGAAGACGTAAGATATTTTACTTTGAAAAATTTTGACAAAAAGCATGATCCTTCAGGAAATATAAAAAACTATTATTTGTTTAATCATCCATAATCACTGGTTCCCATATAACAGTCTGAATAACAAAAATTGATCAAACTAAATCCCTGTCATACTAATAACTACAAGGTCACACAAATGAAAAGTCAGCCGTCCAATATAAAAAAATCTCGTCAAAAGAAAAAGATACGACATATTAAAATATTTATTTCCAGACAAACCCCACCTTTACATTCGTAATATTTCACTACAAAAAAGCAATCTGAATAATCTAAATAGAATATTTTGCAGAAGACTCTTTTAACATACGAAATATTGCTAGTTAAAATTTAACAGAATCAATAGGAAAATTTGATTAAACTAAATCCTTGCCATGATTATAACTACAAGGTAACACAGATGAAAAGCCAAACATTCAATATAAAAGAAATGTGGTTAAATGCAAAAGATACGACGTATTAAAATGTTTCCATTCATGAAAACCTCATCTTTACATTTGTAATGTAATATTTCATTACATAATAGATACTGAGCAGGATACAACATGAAGTTAAGATTCCTTGCACTTTATACAGCAAATACTCAACATGGACTGGTAATCAGACGAGAGGTCATTTTCTGTGGGACTAAAAAACTATCAGCTAACGCAAACCGCCTGCTATAAATGGAAAAAGTAACTACAATTATACTATGAGATAAATAAATATATTTGTTGTTCTTTTCATAATGGTTCATTAGGTTCATTAGCTAGTGAAGCGTGTAACCTGCAATCTGGCATTTATGTACGTAGTTGGATAGTTTATAATGTATCCATATATTATATGTATGACAACTAAACGATATTAGTAATACGACATGCAAATACCTAGTAAATTTTCCAAAAACTAGAAATCTATGATTGAGAAATACCAGATTAAACCATGTAAGAGTATGTTTGTTTATATGACCTTACAGACTTCTCAAATAAAAATCAGTCTACCAATCTTCTATCTTCCAAGAAAATACTTTTCATGTCCCAATCATTTTTTACATTGAATCTTTGTCATCATTACTGATTAAAAATATACCCATTCCATCAAATTTGTATAAATTCCAGATAGCTGATTCTCCAATCTCCACACACTACTATCATGAAAACATGTACAGTAACAGCAGATTTATTTCATTATAGTCCGTTGATTATATTGTCCATAATATTCCACTGATATTTCCATCCGGTAGTTCCTATATGGATTGACAGTGCAGTATTTAGTTTTCAGCATTAATTCCAGAAAAAATTTAATATCTAAAATTTTCAATACTATGGATCACAGTGTTAAAAATTCACAAGCTGTTATATACTATTTCAGGTCGTTTAAGAAACTTGGATGTTGCCTATTCTTTTCTATATTACATTCGTTGTAAGGGACTTCTTAATTTTCATATTCACATTGCTAGCATTTATATAATTAACTCTATTAACCTACAAGTCTCACATTATCTATAAAACCATTATATAAATATAATTGAGAAGCATATTAATAATACACTGTTCGCTATAAGTACAAATATCTATGTATAATTAACCTTATTGACCTAGTAGTCTCTTATTAGGTATAAAACACAAAATACCATTCTCAGGCCAATGCCAAAATAACCCATCCTGCAGAACCCTGCAGCATGCGGCCTATTGACGTCACTTTCACAAAGTAATTATGGGCGTAAACAAAGCATTTGAGAAACTGACCTATAGCACCAACTAGCGAGAGAAAATAACTGTACAACAAAATATTGCAAGTTGCAATAGAAAGAATTTACTAGTTTTGTCAACCAAAATACATACGAATATCAAAATAATAAATTCCAGAGAACTTACTTAGGTATAGACTGGGAGATAGCAATTCGACCAAAGGTCATCGAAGTCTACCAACACCCATTGAGGCCAAATAATCACTGAAAAAGAAAAGAAAAATAACCGTCGACTATTTAACTACCAAATTTATTTGAATAAAGTGTATATTCACAATACAAATGATAATGTAAAAGCAAGAGGTACAAGAAAATAAGCAAATAGTAGAGTTACCGGTAGTTTCAAAAAATTACATGTAGTAAGCAAGCAGGGGCCAGTGGACAATTCTACGATGGATAACTACGGTATGTGTTTAATCAAATTTATTTCATAGAAATATAAATGCTGGTGATATGTACGGTGATAACGTCAAATCCTAGCAATTCTGAATTCTGATAAAAAGAGATTTGAAACCGTTATGCGTTTTGGGTATTATCATTGAGTATGGAGGGTAGTCCAAACCACTCTAGTAAAATTAAATCAAAACAATTAAGTTTTAACGTCATATCTGATATTCGTGAATTGTACTTCTCGCTCAAAATTAATTTTCATGATTTTTATCATATTATCTTTAAATATGTACATATGGGAAACAACTTCTAGTGAAAAATATCGATATCTCGGGCACACTCATAATTGGTTAAGGAATCACTAACATATAGTATTTGTATTTTTTACTATATTATTGTTCAAATTCCCGATATTGTTGTGTTTCGTGAACATTTAACTCGTTTGTGCAAAGCATCGGGATGCAAATATTTTGTACTGGGCTTACAGCATTCGAGAGAGTGCAGTTACGTTTTTTTTTTTTTTCTGTCAGATAGCGAGCTCATTTATGAAACAATGAAAAGCAAATATCCATACCGACATGGTTACCACTGAATTAATAGTCGACAATACCGAAAGGCGTCTGACAAAGGGAGGCAAGCTACATGCGACATGCAATCCATTCGTCAACGTTGAACTATGGGGAACACTTAAGGAATATTATTCTCTTAAAGAGTCAGTGAGTCAAATCAGGCTAGGCCATGCATGTTCCACTGATTGTTTTGGTAGTAGACATAAAAAATCATAAAGAGAACCATAAACGTGAAGCATTGCGCTTTCTCTTTAGATCACTGGAAGAGAAAACGCTTATATTAACTCAATTTTTTCTACAACGACACCTAAATACTGAAGTGCTCAAAATCACTCGCTTGTTTAATAACTTCCTGATGCTTGAAAACGCTCAGCAAACAAAATGAACGTCAAAACAAGACCTTATCGAAGAAGATTTTTAGTTACAGCACCGTGCCCAAATTTATTTTAGTATTTTTCTAATCATGTGACACATTTTACTATTGCTGCGGGGTGTTTGCATTGAAATATAATCGATATTTTTATCACCTCCAAACGTCATATAAGGTTCACTCTTGTATTGTTGCCTGGAGCGTTAAATTTGCTGCCACGCAAGACCATAGCAAACATTCTAGACCAGGGGTGGCCGAGGTTTTTGGACCAGTGTTACAAAAGTAAAATTGGATAACAATGAGCCTTGCACTTAAAACAAAATTAACTCGAAATCTCAACAAATTCCTTGAGCTTTTTCTTAGCTAAAACCTCAGAATTTGGTTTTAGTGCAGATGTGGCAGCATCAGGGAGGGTAGATTGAATTACTCTATGGGCGGAATAATTTGGCCCACTGGCCGTAGTTTGCCCATGTCAGTTATGGTTTTTACACAGGTAGGAGAAACACAAGTGTGCTCATTGACAAGAATGATGTATTCCCAGTGCATAAAACCGAGTTCCCTAAAATGATTTGATCGAAAACAGCACTTACTGGCCGAATATATTGCAATACATGCAAATCTCAGCGAATCCTATCAACATCTTATAATTGACGTGAATTTAACTTTGAATAGCCAGGTTTCTGTAGTTGGGAAAGTTAATAATTATAGATACTATTAGATTTTTATATATACTCCAAAGTGCAATGCTTCGGAAATGGGATATTTTCCTTTTTTCTCACCCATCCACAGTACAAACTTGTTAAATGTTACTAACCCTAATAAATGCCTCATTCTTGAACTTTCACCTCTGTCTAAAGTTAGGCAAAACAAGGCACAAGCCCTTCTTGCTGTATTTCTTTTCTTACATTGCATAAAATGTCTCATGAATTATTCTATTATGTGAATTTTTATAGTAATTCTTCTTTCAAGTACTTTTTTGGAATTGATTCATTGAAACCTCGCAACCAGGCTTATAAATGAACATTATTTTTTCAAAAATATTTTTTCATCTCATTGGAGTATCTTTACAACTTTCACTCCTGACATGTGGAAATTACTTGCCGATATTTACATAACTTTATTCAGAGTGACAGGAATGGGATGGCCCCTGGAAGGGTCGTTATTTATGTGAATGGACTGATGTTACTTGTTGCTGCAAGCATATAATTAGAAAAATTCTCTTCTATATCAAAATCAGTTACAATCAAATTTGGAAACTTTGTTGACTGCTTCTTTGCAAGATCATTACATGGATACGGGAAATGAATTTGTTCAAAATAGAAACATCACAATTGAATACATTTTCTTCAAAACAATTTACAACTAAATTCAATACCAGTATATATCATATGTCATATTTATTTCCATCATTCAAAAACAACAAATATGACGCTAAAAATGCTTTATCCACCCATGTTTAGCAACAGCAAAGCCCAGGGAACAACACTAAATCATTCTGCAAACAGGAAGTGAATATATATTCCGGGATCTTACCCACGAAAGCAACCTAGCTATGACTTCAAATAATCCTGCCTTGTATTTTTTAATTCCGGTAGTCAGCCGACCTAAACTTCTGCTGCTGTAATATTACTTACCGGTAACCCTATTATAACATAATTAGTTATCTCATGTATATTAAAGATATGTTTATTGTGGGATTAAGACTTTTGAAGCAATAAAATAACCACAGCATGTATGTATTATGAACATAGCTTTGAAGGGTACTCCCGTAGTATGCGGTCTTTCAAAAGTAGGAACTCTCAATTGCTAGTAAAATTAGTTATCGCTACCTCCATATTTGTACTCATACTGGAGCCCAATATTATACATTTATTTATGTAAATTTGCATTATTACACATTATGAAATTTTACATCTATGTAAAAAATTATTGAAAAGTATTAATTAACAATTTATGTTTAGTTGGCTAATACTTTCCACACATATTCGTTTTACAACCATTAATTTTATTTAGTATTGATGAAGTAACGACTCACTATTAAATTGAGCGCTACAAAAACAGTGAATCAGAAATGAACGACTACTGTCATTGTGTAGCCTCTAATAATGGGGGCTTAGTGGCAAAAGACATATTCATGGATCCCATCACTTTAAAAGACAGAAGACAAATAACTGCAGGCAATTCAAAGTCAATAATTGGCTGATTAGGTTAAGCTTATTTCATTGAACAGGTCCGCCCAAAGCATGGTAAGGTACGAATAAGACAAAATCATAAAGGTCATCTCACAGTAAGTTAAAGGAATATGTTTGTAGGGAAAAATACCATGAGTAAAATACATTGTGACAAATTGAATTTGATGTAACTTATGATTCAACTGAGTACTGCTGCTAAACGCTATTTGTCTAAAAATATTCACTTTCTGAACATTCAGGAACTCCAAAAGGGACTGTTAGACTGAGGCACGAATGGGCGATAATTGGTCATGGGCCAGTGGTAAACTGTATCTGATCAAACATGGCAGTTTGAGTTAAAGCGAGAAGTGATTCGCACTTCATGCTTGGTCAGGTACGTAGTCTGATACGCATGTGTTATCGTGACTCAAAATGTTTTATTCTCTGCTTGTCTTGGGCAACTTGATGATAATATATCTCTCCGGAAATTTCATAAATAAACAGTTTCTTCATAAGAGATAAGTTAATTACGAGATACATATCACTGATCTAATATGAATGAATAAGATGCCCTTAATATCCAAACAGCAGGAATTGTCAAAATCTACAGCTCACTATTTGGAATGTTTTGTAGAGGTATATTCAGTCTGTAGGAATTTTAAAATACTATATATTGAAAATCATAAATAATTGACTCTAAACAATGAGAATTCAATTGCTTGAAATGACAATTCTTTCAACTATCCATAAACATTCCTAAACCCTTTAATCTACAATATAAAAAAATAACTTTCGAATCAATTTAGGTGTTCAGGTAATTCTCGACATTATTGGCAAACAGTTTAGTTTCTAATTCTCTGAAATTATTTTATTCCCCAATAAGCTAAATATAAGATTTTGCAGAAGACGTAAGATATTTTACTTTGAAAAATTTTGACAAAAAGCATGATCCTTCAGGAAATATAAAGAACTATTATTGGTTCAATCATCCATAATCACTAGTTCCGATATAACAGTCTGAATAACAAAAATTGATCAAACTAAATCCCTGTCATACTAATAACTACAAGGTCACACAAATGAAAAGTCAGCCGTCCAATATAAAAAAATCTCGTCAAAAGAAAAAGATACGACATATTAAAATATTTATTTCCAGACAAACCCCACCTTTACATTCATAATATTTCACTACAAAAAAGCAATCTGAATAATCTAAATAGAATATTTTGCAGAAGACTCTTTTAACATACGAAATATTGCTAGTTAAAATTTAACAGAATCAATAGGAAAATTTGATTAAACTAAATCCTTGCCATGATTATAACTACAAGGTAACACAGATGAAAAGCCAAACATTCAATATAAAAGAAATGTGGTTAAATGCAAAAGATACGACGTATTAAAATGTTTCCATTCATGAAAACCTCATCTTTACATTTGTAATGTAATATTTCATTACATAATAGATACTGAGCAGGATACAACATGAAGTTAAGATTCCTTGCACTTTATACAGCAAATACTCAACATGGACTGGTAATCAGACGAGAGGTCATTTTCTGTGGGACTAAAAAACTATCAGCTAACGCAAACCGCCTGCTATAAATGGAAAAAGTAACTACAATTATACTATGAGATAAATAAATATATTTGTTGTTCTTTTCATAATGGTTCATTAGGTTCATTAGCTAGTGAAGCGTGTAACCTGCAATCTGGCATTTATGTACGTAGTTGGATAGTTTATAATGTATCCATATATTATATGTATGACAACTAAACGATACTAGTAATACGACATGCAAATACCTAGTAAATTTTCCAAAAACTAGAAATCTATGATTGGGAAATACCAGATTAAACCATGTAAGAGTATGTTTGTTTATATGACCTTACAGACTTCTCAAATAAAAATCAGTCTACCAATCTTCTATCTTCCAAGAAAATACTTTTCATGTCCCAATCATTTTTTACATTGAATCTTTGTCATCATTACTGATTAAAAATATACCCATTCCATCAAATTTGTATAAATTCCAGATAGCTGATTCTCCAATCTCCACACACTACTATCATGAAAACATGTACAGTAACAGCAGATTTATTTCATTATAGTCCGTTGATTATATTGTCCATAATATTCCACTGATATTTCCATCCGGTAGTTCCTATATGGATTGACAGTGCAGTATTTAGTTTTCAGCATTAATTCCAGAAAAAAATTTAATATCTAAAATTTTCAATACTATGGATCACAGTGTTAAAAATTCACAAGCTGTTATATACTATTTCAGGTCGTTTAAGAAACTTGGATGTTGCCTATTCTTTTCTATATTACATTCGTTGTAAGGGACTTCTTAATTTTCATATTCACATTGCTAGCATTTATATAATTAACTCTATTAACCTACAAGTCTCACATTATCTATAAAACCATTATATAAATATAATTGAGAAGCATATTAATAATACACTGTTCGCTATAAGTACAAATATCTATGTATAATTAACCTTATTGACCTAGTAGTCTCTTATTAGGTATAAAACACAAAATACCATTCTCAGGCCAATGCCAAAATAACCCATCCTGCAGAACCCTGCAGCATGCGGCCTATTGACGTCACTTTCACAAAGTAATTATGGGCGTAAACAAAGCATTTGAGAAACTGACCTATAGCACCAACAAGAGAGAGAAAATAACTGTACAACAAAATATTGCAAGTTGCAATAGAAAGAATTTACTAGTTTTGTCAACCAAAATACATACGAATATCAAAATAATAAATTCCAGAGAACTTACTTAGGTATAGACTGGGAGATAGCAATTCGACCAAAGGTCATCGAAGTCTACCAACACCCATTGAGGCCAAATAATCACTGAAAAAGAAAAGAAAAATAACCGTCGACTATTTAACTACCAAATTTATTTGAATAAAGTGTATATTCACAATACAAATGATAATGTAAAAGCAAGAGGTACAAGAAAATAAGCAAATAGTAGAGAATTACCGGTAGTTTCAAAAAATTACATGTAGTAAGCAAGCAGGGGCCAGTGGACAATTCTACGATGGATAACTACGGTATGTGTTTAATCAAATTTATTTCATAGAAATATAAATGCTGGTGATATGTACGGTGATAACGTCAAATCCTAGCAATTCTGAATTCTGATAAAAAGAGATTTGAAACCGTTATGCGTTTTGGGTATTATCATTGAGTATGGAGGGTAGTCCAAACCACTCTAGTAAAATTAAATCAAAACAATTAAGTTTTAACGTCATATCTGATATTCGTGAATTGTACTTCTCGCTCAAAATTAATTTTCATGATTTTTATCATATTATCTTTAAATATGTACATATGGGAAACAACTTCTAGTGAAAAATATCGATATCTCGGGCACACTCATAATTGGTTAAGGAATCACTAACATATAGTATTTGTATTTTTTACTATATTATTGTTCAAATTTCCGATATTGTTGTGTTTCGTGAACATTTAACTCGTTTGTGCAAAGCATCGGGATGCAAATATTTTGTACTGGGCTTACAGCATTCGAGAGAGTGCAGTTACGTTTTTTTTTTTTTCTGTCAGATAGCGAGCTCATTTATGAAACAATGAAAAGCAAATATCGATACCGACATGGTTACCACTGAATTAATAGTCGACAATACCGAAAGGCGTCTGACAAAGGGAGGCAAGCTACATGCGACATGCAATTCATTCGTCAACGTTGAACTATGGGGAACACTTAAGGAATATTATTCTCTTAAAGAGTCAGTGAGTCAAATCAGGCTAGGCCATGCATGTTCCACTGATTGTTTTGGTAGTAGACATAAAAAATCATAAAGAGAACCATAAACGTGAAGCATTGCGCTTTCTCTTTAGATCACTGGAAGAGAAAACGCTTATATTAACTCAATTTTTTCTACAACGACCCCTAAATACTGAATGTGCTCAAAATCACTCGCTTGTTTAATAACTTCCTGATGCTTGAAAACGCTCAGCAAACAAAATGAACGTCAAAACAAGACCTTATCGAAGAAGATTTTTAGTTACAGCACCGTGCCCAAATTTATTTTAGTATTTTTCTAATCATGTGACACATTTTACTATTGCTGCGGGGTGTTTGCATTGAAATATAATCGATATTTTTATCACCTCCAAACGTCATATAAGGTTCACTCTTGTATTGTTGCCTGGAGCGTTAAATTTGCTGCCACGCAAGACCATAGCAAACATTCTAGACCAGGGGTGGCCGAGGTTTTTGGACCAGTGTTACAAAAGTAAAATTGGATAACAATGAGCCTTGCACTTAAAACAAAATTAACTCGAAATCTCAACAAATTCCTTGAGCTTTTTCTTAGCTAAAACCTCAGAATTTGGTTTTAGTGCAGATGTGGCAGCATCAGGCAGGCTAGATTGAATTACTCTATGGGCTGAATAATTTGGCCCATTGGCCGTAGTTTGCCCATGTCAGTTATGGTTTTTACACAGGTAGGAGAAACACAAGTGTGCTCATTGACAAGAATGATGTATTCCCAGTGCATAAAACCGAGTTCCCTAAAATGATTTGATCGAAAACAGCACTTACTGGCCGAATATATTGCAATACATGCAAATCTCAGCGAATCCTATCAACATCTTATAATTGACGTGAATTTAACTTTGAATAGCCAGGTTTCTGTAGTTGGGAAAGTTAATAATTATAGATACTATTAGATTTTTATATATACTCCAAAGTGCAATGCTTCGGAAATTGGATATTTTCCTTTTTTCTCAACCATCCACAGTACAAACTTGTTAAATGTTACTAACCCTAATAAATGCCTCATTCTTGAACTTTCACCTCTGTCTAAAGTTAGGCAAAACAAGGCACAAGCCCTTCTTGCTGTATTTCTTTTCTTACATTGCATAAAATGTCTCATGAATTATTCTATTATGTGAATTTTTATAGTAATTCTTCTTTCAAGTACTTTTTTGGAATTGATTCATTGAAACCTCGCAACCAGGCTTATAAATGAACATTATTTTTTCAAAAATATTTTTTCATCTCATTGGAGTATCTTTACAACTTTCACTCCTGACATGTGGAAATTACTTGCCGATATTTACATAACTTTATTCAGAGTGACAGGAATGGGATGGCCCCTGGAAGGGTCGTTATTTATGTGAATGGACTGATGTTACTTGTTGCTGCAAGCATATAATTAGAAAAATTCTCTTCTATATCAAAATCAGTTACAATCAAATTTGGAAACTTTGTTGACTGCTTCTTTGCAAGATCATTACATGGATACGGGAAATGAATTTGTTCAAAATAGAAAGATGACAATTGAATACATTTTCTTCAAAACAATTTACAACTGAACTCAATACCAGTATATATCATATTTATTTCCATCATTCAAAAACAACAAATATGACGCTAAAAATGCTTTATCCACCCATGTTAAGCAACAGCAAAGCCCAGGGAAAAACACTAAATCATTCTGCAAACAGGTAGTGAATATATATTCCGGGATCTTACCCACGAAAGCAACCTAGCTATGACTTCAAATAATCCTGCCTTGTATTTTTTAATTCCGGTAGTCAGCCGACCTAAACTTCTGCTGCTGTAATATTACTTACCGGTAACCCTATTATAACATAATTAGTTATCTCATGTATATCCAAGATATGTTTATTGTGGGATTAAGACTTTTGAAGCAATAAAATAACCACAGCATGTATGTATTATGAACATAGCTTTGAAGGGTACTCCCGTAGTATGCGGTCTTTCAAAAGTAGGAACTCTCAATTGCTAGTAAAATTAGTTATCGCTACCTCCATATTTGTACTCATACTGGAGAGCCCAATATTATACATTTATTTATGTAAATTTGCATTATTACACATTATGAAATTTTACATCTACGTAAAAAATTATTGAAAAGTATTAATTAACATTTTATGTTTAGCTGGCTAATACTTTCCACACATATTCGTTTTATGGCCATTAATTTTATTTAGTACTAGTGAATAAACGACTCACTATTAAATTGAACGTTACAAAAGCAGTGAATTAGAAATGAACGACTACTGTCGTCGTGTAGCCTTCTCTTTTTCTTATTTCTCAATACTAGAATAATTATAAGGCCATACATTGGCCTCTAATAATGGGGGCTTAGTGGCAAAAGTCAGGTTCATGGATCCCATCACTTTAAAAGACAGAAGACAAATAACTGCAGACAGTTCAAAGTCAATAATTGGCTGATTAGGTTAAGCTTATTTCATTGAACAGGCCCAAAGCATGGTAAGGTACGAATAAGACAAAATCATAAGTGTCATCTCACAGTAAGTAAAAGGAATATGTTTGTAGGGAAAAATACCACGAGTAAAATACATTGTGACAAATTGAATTTGATAAAACTTATAATTCAACTGAGTACTGCTGCTAAACAATATTTGTCTAAAAATATTCACTTTCTGAACATTCAGGAACTCCAAAAGCGACTGTTAGACTGAGGCAGGAATGGGGATACGTATGTGTTATCGTGACTCAAAATGTTTTATTCTCTGCTTGTCTTGGGCAACTTAATGATAATATATCTCTCCAGAAATTTCATAAATGAACAGTTTCTTCATAAAAAATTATTCAATTATGAGATACATATCACTGATCTAATATGAATAAAGAAGAAGATGCCCTTAATTTATCCAAACAGCAGGTATTGTCAAAATCCACAGCTTACTATTTGGAATGTTTTGTAGAGGTATCTGTGGTAATTTAAAAATATTATATAATGAAAATTATAAATAATTAACTCTAAACAATGAGAAATTTCGACAGAAGGAAATGATCCTTCAGGAAATATAATAAAATATTATTGGTTCAGTCACCCATAATCACTAGTTCCGATATAACAGTCTGAATAACAAAAATTGATCAAACTAAATCCTTGTCATGCTAATAACTACAAGGTCACACAAATGAAAAGTCAGCCGTCCAATATAAAAAAATCTTGTCAAAAGAAAAAGATACGACATATTAAAATATTTATTTCCAGACAAACTCCACCTTTACATTCATAATATTTCACTACAAAAAAGCAATCTGAATAATCTAAATATAATATTTTGCAGAAGACTCAAGAACTCTTTTAACATACGAAATATTGCTAGTTAAAATTTAACAGAATCAATAGGAAAATTTGATTAAACTAAATCCTTGTCATGATTATAACTACAAGGTCACACAAATGAAAAGCCAAACATTCAATATAAAGGAAATGTGGTTAAATGCCAAAGATACAACGTATTAAAATGTTTCCATTCAATCTTTACATTTGTAATATAATATTACATTATTTTATAATAGATACTGAGCAGGATACAAAATGAAATTAAGATTCCTTGCACTTTATACAGCAAATACTCAACATGGACTGGTAATCAGACGAGAGGCCATTTTTTGCGGAACTAAAAAACTATCAGCTAACGCAAACCGCCTGCTATAAATGGAAAAAGTAACGACAATTATACTATGAGATAAATAAATATATCCTTTACGCATTAAATAATTAGAAGTTTATGAGAATCCTGGATTTCATTTGCATAATATTCTCAATCAGTATTAATTATAAAACAATTCTCACGCCTTTACTTTGTTCGATTCCTTTCTATTCTACTTGTGGCAAAGTTAGACTTTTATCACCGGTGTCGCTGCTAGATACCCAACATTGTTTTTTTTTGTGTCACCATTCACCATGAAATGCCTTTTTTATGTTTTTTTCTAGTTTTTGCCTCAGTTGATACTCTTTATTTCTCTTGCTTATGTGTATATACTCAATTATCATTTGTTGTTCTTTTCATAATGTATCATTAGCTAGTGAAGCGTGTAACCTGCAATCTGGCTTTTATATAGTTGGATAGTTTATAAGGTATCCATATATTATATGTATGACAATAGTTTTAGCAAATAAACGATATTAGTAATACGACATGCGAATACCAACTAAATTTTCCAAAAACTAGAAATCTATGATTGAGAAATACCAGATTAAACCATGTAAGAGTATGTTTGTTTATGTGACCTTAAAGACTTCTCAAATAAAAATCAGTCTACCAATCTTCTATCTTCCAAGAGAATACTTTTCATGTCCATACATTTTTTACATTAAATCTTTGTTATCATTACTGATTAAAAATATACCTATTCCATCAAATTCGCATAAATTCCAGATAGCGGATTCTCCAATCTCCACGCACTACTATCATGATTGTTGCTAAATATTAGTATCCAATTACTGAACATGCAATACACACCAATCCCAAGATAATGCTACAAAACAAATGTTTACAAACACAGCAATAAATAAGCATACCAAATTAAAAAAAAATATTCACAGTAACAGCAGATTTATTTCATTATAGTCCATTGAATATATTGTCCATAATATTCCACTGATATTTCCATCCGGTAGTTCCTATATGGATTGACAGTGCAGTATTTAGTTTTTGGCATTAATTATAGAGAAAAAAATTTAATATCTAAAATTTTCAATACTATGGATCACAGTGATAAAAATTCACAAGCTGTTATATACTATTTCAGGTCATTTAGAAACTGAAATGTTGCCTATTCTTTTCTATATTCCTGCTTGCTATACGAGACTAATTTTCATATTCACATTGCTAGCATTTGTATAATTAACTCTATTATCCTACAAGTATCACATTAGCTATAGAACCATTATTATCTAAATAACTGAGAAGCATATTAATAATACACTGTTTACTAGTAGAACAAATATCTATGTATATTTAACCCTATTAACTTACAAGTCTCTCATTAGGTATGAAACCCAAAATAACATTCTCAGGCCAATGCCAAAATAACCCACCGTGCAGAACCCTGCAGCATGCAGCCTATTGAAGTCACTTTCACAAAGTAATCATGGGCGTAAACAAAGCATTTGAAAAACTGACCTATAGCACCAACTAGAGAGAGAAAATAAGTGTACAACAAAATATTGCATAAAATAGGATAGAGTTTACTAGTTTTGTCAACCAAAATATATATAAATATCAAAATATTGAATTCCAGAGAACTTACTTTGGTATAGACTGGGAGATAGCAATACAAGTTACAACCAAAGGTCATCGAAGTCTACCAACACCCATTGCAGCTAAATAATCACTGAAAAAGAAATGAAAAATAACCGTTGACAATTTAACTACCAAATATATTTAAATAAAGTGTTTATTCACAATACAAATGATAATGTATAAGCAAGAGGTACAAGAAAATAAGCAAATAGTAGAGAATTACCGGTAGTTTCAAAAAATTACATGTAGTTAACCCTTTTCATGCGATTTTTGTTTTTTATTAAATAATCGTATTTGCTACGCCGATTTTATGCATTTGTACCCCCACAACTAATCGATCGACTAACGAAAAACTAATGATCCTCTGCTGCCCACTGACGGCTCATTGGAAAGCTTATTTAAAGAGCTTGCAATTGGCGATTAAAAAAAAAAGTTTTTTTTAAAGTGGTGGTCTGAGTCACAAACCGGATAGAAAACAGGCATTTTTTTTCTTGGGATATGAAACTTCAAACCGTGATAAAAAATAGAAATATTCGCTAAATCCTTTACTGTTACCGCTTCGTGGTTGGCAAACAATAGCATAATATTGCTGTAGCAATTTCGTGATCCAACTCAAAATACTTTGGTAGATGGAAGGGATAATATGTCTTCTATTACCACCCAAAAAGCACCGAAATTTGCATAAATTTCAAAAACACTCCCTCGTTCCGCCGCAAATAAAATTCCCGTCGTAAACGAAAGCGAGATTTACCGTCGCTTATGTTAATCTCGAAGAAGACTTCTTATCAATAAACTAAAACCCGGAAAAACTAGACCAACAGTTTACGACCGATTGCTAAATAAAACAGTGGAGTACATCAACGTACCCGCCGCAATCTAGCGACGTTTGTCGTGGGTACGTATACGTGCCCACCGCACGGAAAGGGTTAAGCAAACAGGGGCCAGTGGACAATTCTACGATGGATAACTACGATATGTGTTTAATCATTATAAATTATCATCACTACATGGGAAAGCCAATATAATAGATTCAAGAATTCGATTCCAAATTTTTGCATTAGTGAAATTGTTTGATTTTTGGGAGAATTTAGTGCCAGCACTTGGGGTAAAATAGAAATTTCTGGCCCTCCAGAAGTATGTGTACCAATATGGAGGTAAGTAATTTTGTTCGTCTACTTCACATAAAGATGTGTAAATGAAAGGAAGCATATGGGCAAGGGGTATGTTCACTTGGCCAACACACACAGTCTCAAACTCGTAATAAAACTAAAACTGCTTGCATCATAGTAAAATAAGTCATTCAATTTCAAAATATTTAATTTTTCATTGAGTGGGCTAAATCTACCGGTAGTTTGCAACCGAACATTTGAGATAGTCCTGACAGCCCGATTTTGGAGAAGTATAAAAAGATTTAAATGAGTTTTGATGCCGAACCACATTGGCTATACCATATTAAATACAAGAATGGAAAATTGCAAAATAAACAGTTCCTAAAACACTCAACTGCACATAATTTTTGAGCCTGATTAAAATTCAAACATCCGTTGACAGCTTACTAGATAAATGATAGAAATGTTCCTGTCATGTGAGACCTAGGTGTGCAGTTTCGATATTTGTATTCGGAGGATTCAAATCCCAAAGTATTAGAATCCACAAAGATCCAATAATAGGTTTCGGTTTCCGCCAGGTTTGACGCCAAATTTTAATCTATGTATTCCAGGTTTCTAATGTACTAATCAAAGATGAGCGAGCTCTCTCATGTCAAAATCTCTCGTTTGAATATATTTGCGCCTGCTTGCTAAGAATCCGGGAAAAAGCAGAAATCAAATATATTAAGAAGAAATAAATGGACACCACACGGCAAAGACTTTTAAATTTTTGTGTCTTCCATTCTTACTATCTAGTTGACATATAGTAAGTATTAGTGATGACTTACTGGCCATATTACAATTACCGTACATCATTTTACACTGAAAGCTCTTTCGCAGTCTACAACTTCTCCCAAAAAATGATGCAAACACAAAACCAGGCGTTGAATGTTATAACTTTGCAATAAAGTTTGATCGAATATTAGTTGAGCATAATTTGAATATATTTATGACAAGCCTTATCCGAAAATGCAAAATTATACCGCAAGACAAAGCACTTTGCTACATTTAGTTCGCACTCCCAAAATATTACATATTTCTGGTATCCAAGTCGACGATTAATCCAATCGTCCAAGATGTACACACGTTTGGTCGAGTGTCTGTGGTATTTTAGTGGACGCTAAATCGAAAAAAGTTTCTGCATTTGGTAAAGACATTTAATCATGTCCGGCCTAACTATTGAGCAAACACTTATTGAGTGAGGCCAAGCCTAGGTAGAATATACTGATAAGAACAGAAAACAGTTCAAGGCAAAATGCTTAAATTTCATTGTCTTGAGGAATGCCTATTTGGTATCAAATAAAATCCAATGCTCGGGACATTTTCAATTAAATACAAAAAGAGTAAGACATTTACAATTTCGCTTAATTTCATTCCAGCAGTGTGGTGGGAGAATTCTCACATTTGAAAAACAATTAAAATATAATAGGATTCAGTATACCGGATTGTATTTAAATATTCTAGAATAGTGAATTATTCGATATAACCCATTCTTAGTGAGACCACGTTCAATAAAAATACCAAGATACTAACAGAAGTACACACTGAGAAGCGAGTTCCACTAAGAGATAATTCGAGCTTCCCTGTGTTTTTAATAATAATGATATACCCAAATAAATTACCCCTATCTGCACTTTAACACCGGACACGAAAACAAACTCAGATGCTTAACTCAGAATATGACATTGTACCGGTACAAAATACAGCTGTGCTCTTGACTTTGTGTCCTCAAGGGTCGTCAAGTAGTAACATGAACTTCAAATCGAAATTATTTGACTGAACTATCTACAAATATTATATTGACCACTGAGAGGAATACCAATAATACACTGTTTACTATTAGTACAAATACCTACCGTATATTTAACCTACAAGTCCTGCATTAGCTATAAGAATAACATTCTCAAGCCAATGCCACAACTACTTTTTTTTGTCGAATTGAATTCCAGTGCCAATATAAAATTGTTTGATACATTTTGGGTTTTTGTCCAAATACATCAAATCATTATGTTAATTCCTGGTTTTGATAGTTTATATCAGAGAACAATTGCACATATTGAATTCTGATTAATATCATAAAATTCGAAAAACATAATGCATTTTATCCAATCAGAGGTGATATATAGGCTTGCACGTAATTGACAAAAATCAATTCCGTAATTACGGCAAAATCAATTACGTAATGACCCCGTAATTGCGATATTTTTCCACGCATTCAAACCTATCATAACAACCAATGGAATCCACTTCTTTTCCGAATGGGACATTGAAGTTGGGTTTTCATATTCTTGGCAGTACAACACGCCATCGGCAGATGTTAAAGACAAATATCAAGGAGTGAATTCAAAATAATTTTATTCTGATTTTTATCTTTTGTGTTAGCTTTGGTTTTCCTTTATCACCTTCGCAAATTAACCGTCCCATTTTTATGCGATCAATTTTATTTTATCATTACCGACACTGGTATACGGTTGTTTATGGAAACGATAGTTTTTTAAAACCACCTTAGTACTGAATAAAAATTAAGGGTTTCTATTTTATTAACCAACGACGAGCGTATTCACTCATTTGATTATACTTGCGATTTCCTCGCGACGAAGACTTGTTTTTGCAGCTTCTTCTGCATTATCCGACATTACATTTTATAATAATAATTATTGATGTCGACTTATTGACGATATTCCGATTACCATGCTTCATTTTACATTTAATCATTTCGCGGACTAAATGTTTAAAACATTATTTGCGATAAATTTAGATTAAATATTATTTATTTGAGTATAATTTAAATATCGAACTTATATGATATGCCTTCTCCGAAAATACAAAAGTTATATCGCAAAACAATGCATTTTGTGACATTTATTTTACACTCACGACATTTATTTGCTAACTCAAGTCGGCGATCCTATCGGCCAAGATTGACACAAGTTTGGTGTCGAGTGCCGGTGGTATTCAAGTAGACGATAAATCAAAATAAGTTGCCGCATTTGGTAAGACAGTTAATCATATATGGCCGAAATATTGAGAGGAATTGTGAAAAACATCATGCGCAAGGCCAAGTCCGGACTGATATATAACGATAAAACCGTTAACAGAACATCAAGATTTTGTAATAGAAAATGGATCTCGCACAGAATAAACACACTGGCTCATATTTGATTATATATGATAGCAGTTAAATTTTTTTGCGGTCCGCGAGGAATCCGTCGTTTTGCTGTTTCTCTGCCGTCTCAATCGCTTTACCGATGCCGAGAAGACGAAGTTGCGTTGGTTCATTACGCAATCTCTCTTTTGTCGTCATATTGCTATTTGATAAGCGCGACATTAATTATCACAGCGAGGTATTGGCGCGAGTGATCAATCGCTCTTTTGGCTTATTTGGTTCCAATTCGTCGCGAAAGCTCTTCGTTAAATTTCACAAAATCGTCGTGTTGAACGGTTATGGATATTTTCTTGTTTATACCCCAGGTCTGAAATAAAACAGCCAAAAACAGTATGATATTCCATGTTCATATATCAAGTGTTGATATTAACATTAAAGAATGGTTAAGCATTGCTAATCCACACTTGGTGGGGAATTCCCACTATTTAAACGCGTGACTATAAAATAAAATGAATTAGAAACGGAACATATATACCATAAGTAACGGAAAACTGGAACAAGTAAATAATAAATAAAAGTAAAATGGATACAAATGTTTGATAGACCATGTTTGAAAGATTGATCTCCTGCGTTCATTAGTCATTTCACCCGAAGAAGTTGAAACCGGGCGTGTTAGCGTCCATCGGTCTTAACACAATTCTTCCCCCTATCTACGGTTATTATGTACATTGGCCATGGCCATGCTAGATAAGATGCGAGAGAGTTGAAACCAGGTGTGTTGGCGTCAATCGGTCTTAACGCAATTCTATCCCTTATCTACGGTTAAGTT